TACTGGTGTATTCAGCAATGGATAAAAAAGCAGGTCGTGGGGAGAGAGAGCCACTGGATTGGCCTCACAGACTCGGAACAAGAAAACGAGTGGAAGTGGCTGGACGGGACCCCTGCAGATTACAAGTGAGTGCCAGAAACTTCCCGCTGCCGGCCGGCCGGGCACATGGGTCCTGTGCCCCCGCCCCGCCCCGCCGACTTCCGCCAGTGTCTTCCTCCATGATCTCCTGTGCTGGGACCTGCCTGTCTCGACCGGCCGGCCGGGCACATGGGTCCTGTGCCCCCGCCCCGCCCCGCCGACTTCCGCCAGTGTCTTCCTCCATGATCTCCTGTGCTGGGACCTGCCTGTCTCGTGCCAGCTCCAGGCCCCCACTGTGTCTTCCCACTGGGCAAACACTGGTTGAGAACTGATAGGCGGGTAGGTGAGGTGTTCGTCTCTCCTTTTCGTGGAGTCAGTTTTTCTTCACTTCCAGGAAAATCACAAGACTCACAGAACCGCATAGGCACAGTATGGTGCTCCCGGCCAAGGTGTTTCTTTTAAATACCACAAGGAAGGGTAACAAAGCTCCCGTGGCCACAGCACATTCAGTGTTTCTGAGGAGAGGAGGCGCCCTGCAGGACGGCATCATCGGTGGCCTTCATCAGGGTCTGGCTCTGCCGCGCACAGGGAACTTAGCGCACTGCAGAATAACCACCGGAGGCTGGGACAGGCCGTGTGCCCCACAGCTCACACATGTCTTCCGAGCGTCCGCCACCCAGGGCCGTCAGGTGCCTCCGTCGACCTTCCCAAGCCTCTAACGTTGACATTCTCCCAGTCTGAATTTTAACTTCCTTCTACGCCAGCCTTGCCTCTTCCACACAGGAAATGTGCAACATGCCGAACCAGACAAAGCAGCACTTAGGAAAATCCACCTTGGAGGAGCCTTTAGTTTCCTGGCGATGGTCGCCACACCCTACGGAGGCTCCACCAGGGGGCAGTGTCGCTGTCACAGAACCAGCAGTGCTTTGGCTGTTCCATGAGGTGTCTTGGATCTAAGAAGGTGTCATGGGCACTAGACAAAGCCACCTGTCGCTTGAAGAGAAGCTTAGGGTCCAAAGAGATGGAAAGGCCACATAGCATCTTTAAAAGTCTCTGCGTCAGTAGGTAGACAGGTGCCTTTGACCTTTAAAATCCTCCACGTCAAGAACATGGTTAAGGGATAGAAGTGGAAACCAGAATACCCCCCCACCAATCCCCAAACTGGGGTAGAACCCAAGGCCTTTTCACTGAGCTACATCCCCAGATCTCCTTATTTTTTAAAGATGGGGGCTCACTAAATTGCCTAGGAGGAACTCAAATTTGTGACCCTCCTGCCTCAGCCTCCCAAATGCTAGGACTACAGATGTGTGCCACCACACCCAGTAGGGCAGCTCTTAAAGAAGTAGCCAAGCAGTGAGGTGAAATATTTGAAAACTTTAGGCCAGACTGCCCCCAAGCACCGTTCCTGGTACCTCTGGCACTCGGGAATTCCAGAGGTTGGAGGAAAGCACCCCACACAGTGAGAAGGCTTTGGGAGACTTAGGAGATGGCTGGATGTCGGCATCAAACACAGGAGCCAAGGATGGCTGGAGGTGGAGGTTAAGAAGGAAAAAACAAATCTACTTCTCTGATAGTGAAGAGAGCCAGGATTTTGTTTTGTTTTTAAGGAAGGGAGCTAAAAAAAAAAAAAAAAAAAAAAAAAAATTTATTTTTCTATTTGTCTCCTGCCATAAA